AGAGAAAGTCAGGAATGAAAATGACGTTACATACGAGGTTGATGCATTTGTGCATGTCGTACTAAGCAAGGTATAAAAACAGTTGCTTTATGAGGAATTAGTTCGTACCATTGAATATTTGACGCAATAGACAAGGTGTCGCAGAAACCGATGTTGCTATAACCAAGTTTTACTGTATATGTATTTATAACACTGGAAGGGGTGCATTAGAGTATTTTTCTTTTTTACTAACGTTGGGATGGCTATATTAGGGCGAAATTTTGATGTTAACAAAGGGAGGGCTGCATGTGAAGCACGCAGTGCAACGTGGAATTTGGATACCAACTCAGAATTTGCTCTAGGACCGAGGAAAACCATAAACCCTAAGTTGTCCTGCTTCTAACACGGACCGCGTAGAAAACACTGTTCCCCATTACTGTTGCATCCTCTTGTTTCTGTGGAATTGTTGTCGGACCCATTACCTACGAACGGCTGTTGTATAGTCGCTTATTCCGCGCCCATTGCCTAGCAACGGCTCTACATACCCCAATATATTGTGAGACTGACACTGAATCAAAGTGTAAATCAACGCTACTGCTATCAGCACAGCGGAATTCCTGAAGGTACCACTCACGCAGTTTTATTTGGGGAAATGGTATCTGCAATATACCAGAATTTATATCATTAGCGCTGTTTTCAAGGAAGTCACCGTTTTATAATTTGGGGCCCACTTAAAGGGCCCTATTTCTGGTGGTGTGTTGTTCATGAAGAGTTCCATATTCTGGCATTCTTTGCTGAAGTTAGTGTTTCCGTCGTGACGAAGCTTTCGACGATGGCATTTCGTGTAAAGTTAAAGACAACGGCTACTGGAACGCTGAAATGCTGAGACGTGCCTACGGTCAGGAATGTGTATCGGGGGCACAAAAGGTTCAAAGAGAGGCCGGCCTTCAACTTCCAGAGCAGAAGAATCACCGGAAGTCATTAAAAAAATGTTTGGCCGAAGATCGAACTTTTGAGTGTTCGGATGTTAGAAGAAACGACAGGGATCGGTAGGGAGACGGTACGTAAGACATTAGTCTAAGATTTGTGTGCTCGCTTCGTTCCTCGTTTGTTAATATCGGATCGAAAACGTCAGCGCGCTGTCTCCGAGTTCTGGGAGAAACGAGGGGTCGACGTGTTTTCTCGTCCACCTCACTCCCTTGATTTAGCGTCGGCTGACTTTTTTATTTCCTAAACTAAACATTGCGATGAATAGAACAAAATTCAAGGCTGTTCCATCGATCCAGCAGACCGTGACGAGAGAGCTGAAGGCGATACGGGAAGCAGCGTTTTCTGGGGCACTCGATTCCTTGTATGAGCGATGTCCACGTTGCGCGGAAGGGGGCGGGGCCTATATTGAGCAATGGTAATAATATTTTTTTGTGTGGTCTTTATGGCCTCAGTTCGGGAACTTGTCACACTATGCATACACACAGGCAGACAGAGAGGCGGCGTTATTTACAGGGTGGCTCAAACAACGCAAATTCCTCAAAACCTAGATATCTCGATGGCAATATTCCCTCGTGTATGAGGAAACAGGCAATCGGTCCCGAAACTTCCTGGTCACATGTCGTACTGCATGTGGCATGGGTAATCCCCTGTCTTGCTCACACCACAGTCCGTCCTGTCTCCATCCTCTGAGCTTGTCACCGCTTTCCTTAACCACACACTTCCGGTGCGTCACTTTCCTTCCGACATCCGTGCTCCTCTAGGCCACTGACATTCTCCTCGGGATGGAATCATTCAGTTATATCGTGTCATAGAAGAGAGTTTGAAGTTTAAAACCTTTTAAGTTTTTAAAAAGTAAGTTTCATGTCAGGCGGCTAATACGCAACAAGGAACAAATAATTCAATGGTTGTGAAGATCTTTTTTGGAAAAGATCACGGATAAATGTTGTTGTTACTATGGAAACCTTTACAGAATGATATACATTGTTAGTTCTGCACAAGAATTTAGCAATTAAATTGATTTCTACAGTCATTTGTATTTAGTTTCTTGGAAACGTCTGAAATTGAAATCTCTTTACCAACATCAAAATAATTTACATCCCTCTTAATGAGCTATTCCAAAGAAAAGCTTCTTTGTAGCAATTTGGACTTATATTGAAAAGCATAATTCTACCAGCGGGACCAACATCAAAGTATTGTTCGTTTGCTGACATTGTATAGTGAAATATCCCTTATGGGAGACAGACGTATTATGTTCATTTGAGGACCAACAAAGCCATAAGTTATCAGAATGCAAATCGGCTTAACCACTTAGAAAGATCTTACCCATTCTGTTCAAACAAATGTTTCTTTTTCTCCCAGTCTCCAGTTCTCTGTTCTGTCAGCAGGACCACAGACACGAGGACACCGCCTCTCGCTCGAAACGCAGTGTGCGTGAGTGCGTGTGCACTTAGGCGTCCTCCACACAGTAACAAAGAGAAAAGTCTATTGATTAGAACCAAGAATGTTCCAGACGGAATTTTAGGCATTTGATGATACCCCATGTTATGTACAAGTATGGGACAGAAAACGCTTATCGTCGGTCACCTGGCCACGAAATTCTTTTTGACATAACTTGAAAATTCGTTAGCATGTAGGATCTGACGTTCTCACAGCGGCGGTTATGAATAGTTCTATCTTCTGCGATATTACGCCGTGTAGTTCGCTGAAAGTTGACTGACGTTTCGGAAGAACATGTGGCCTCCACGAAGCAGGTGGCAAGCAACTGGCGGTTATTCGGCCAGCTCAGGTTAGGGGCTGGTGGTGGACTTTTATGAGCTCGGGGATGAACCTTCAGGTTCCTTGAAAGCCTGAGTGACTGTGCAGTTGTAGTGGTTATGTGGCGCGCACAGCGAGTGCGTGCGGACAAGCGAAGCCAAAACAGAAACGCTGGCAAAGCCGTTGTCTATTGCCGACTTTCTCTCTTCATCAAACCGCACGTCTGCGCCAGCCTTTTGTGTGTGCGCAATGAACACCCAGCAAACCAGCTCTCAAGCGGTGGCGAGCCGAACTTCAGTCTCGGCCTGGACGCAGACTAAGCTGAGCTTTCTCGTTGTTTTTCTCAGTCCCTACAGGACCGCCTCGGTCCACAGCTGGACTTCCCTAGTCATCCTAACACCAGACGCTATATACAGACAGCGCCGCTAAATGAGAACACATTATAAATAAATCGTCTTTCGTGTACAAACGCTCCTGGTTTGAACCCCAGAGGCGGTGACGAGCAGGGTCGGAGGAGGAGCCAGGATAGCTCAGTCAGTATAGTGACGGACCATGTGCTGGATGACCGGACTTCCCTCTCCACAGCGTCCACACCGGTTCCAGGGCCCAATGGGCGATGAGAGGTTTCTTCTCCGGACATAAAGCGGCCAGAGCGTGAAGCCCCTACATCTTTACGTGGTGCTTATTTAAGCACAGGTAGGAGTATAACTGCTGTGTGTAAAGATGTGATGTATTAAGCCAATCGGGTTAATTAGCTGGGATTGCCGGCGAGGCGCGAGGTGAGTGATTCGGGTCAGTGACCAAGCGTGGAGGGGACTAACGCCGGGTCATGTATCACCGGCTCAACTCTGCCGCGACTCTCGATTCCTCACCCGAGCTCTCCTGGGAGATGTGGCCCGCTCGTACGCACGTCTCGAGATCAACGTACTCCGTCAGTTGCACGTCTGACTAATCTCATTACAGTCATAAACACGGTCTGCACTCGTTTTAGGGGTTGCTCAGTTCGAACCTGCTATTCTGCCAAAAGCCTTTAGTGGTTTTCCATAGCCTCTCCAGGAAAATGTCTGGCCACTATCGTTTCCTTCCTAATCCTTTCCAATTCATCGATCATCCTTTTGACATAGGACCATTAGCACAAGCAGTCGATTAAGAGGAACAAATAAAGAGGCAAGAAAGAAAGGAGCACTGAAACGTTCTACCAATTAAAAAGGGGCAAAAGAAAGTTCACCCGTGTGAGCAGACTGACGAAGTCAGAGTAACCAAGAAACCGCAGAGTGTGACCCAACACCACATGCTGACCGGAACAAACTGGCTTAAACGGTCCCACTGGGTCTGTATTGTGTTCGGAAGGCACCCGGTTAGACTTTCGACCGGAAAACCGACTATTGTGACCATGTCCTCTGCAGGACAAGCTTCACTGCTACAGACACACGTAGCCATTGCTACATGTTTCGGTCTCTAGATGACCATCATCAGGGCGGTACACGCATAACATTATAAAGAGCTGAGTTCTGTATGAGTTGCTATGCCCAATCGTGGCTCGAGTCTGAATAAAACTGAACGCATCTGTGAGAAAATTGCTCCGTCTCTCTTGTCCCAAACGGAAGATGTTCCCCTTGGAGAGACAACGCCAGGACATGCACGGGTTCGAGTCCAGGCAACTTATTTCCTCCGTAAGAAAGGTACTGTAACAACAGTGGGATGGTGACGACAATCAGTCGGTCGGTTAAACTGTTGCTGGCCCTCGCCAGCACAGCAGTTCTTGTTTTTGGGTCCCGTCGAGACACATGGCAATACTTTCTTTTCAAGACTTTTGCGTTCTCTTCGACGAGAGGAGAGGTCTGACTGGTCACTCCCCCCCCACTGCGGGCGACAATACATGCGTAAAATCCGCATGATTTATAGTAACCATGGTAACGAGATAACAATGGGAGCTTGATGACAGTGAGTACGTAAACTTCGTATGTTCTACGGTAACCATAGTAACCAATTTCTGTGCGAAAACTTTCAGAAACCAAATTTGTTATGCTTCATGCCAGAATCTAGTTAAATGTGGAAAGAAACGCCTGTCCGTAAGTGTGAAAGCAGATGTTATATGTTAATATGTTAAAATGTTGGTCACCTAATGACTGGAACATGCAGTGGTCACATTTGTGGGAATATAGTTACACACATTATAAAATTGTTTCATTCGTGTTCCACCATTTACTTCCTTCGGGCAACTGCAGTTGGCCCTGAACTGTACCCTCACCTGACACACAACAATGGTCACTCACCAAAGGAAGCCGCTAGAAGGAACGACAGACACGTGACGATCGCTTGGGTAGCTGCTATATCCATGGTGCTCACAGCGGTACTGCGTGGATTACGAACTTATACTTTCAAAACCAAACATAAAAAAAAAACAAATTAAAATGTAACTTCTCACTTCAGAACTTCAGTAACTCATTCCTGCTCAGTTTTGTTTGTGTGCCGTGGAGGAGCCCGCGCGAGCCTCAACTGTCTCCGGCCGGGCGCTAGTGTCGCACTAGGCATCTGGGACCGCCGGCAGAGCCATCTACCTTGCTTGTCCCCGCCCCCCACCTGACCTGCGGAATACGACTGTGACGTCACAGACATAGTACCCTTAGCAGGGGGCGGGGACAGCGCTCCTGGGGAAATGTAGGCGTCACTTTCACCATGGGAAGAGACGCGGAGCGTCGAATCCATGTTCAATGTACAGAAGGAGACCGTGCATGCGCCGTCGCGACGTCGGATGCTGCGAAAATTAATCCAACGTCGGTCCATGTTTGTTTCAATTTCGAAACGAAATTATTACTTCAATTGTCTTTTCTCTATGAACAGTAAACATGTCTGATTTTTTCATGTACTATCCATTTTAACTCTTCATCTTCATTGGTTTACGGAAGTTAAGAATGGCTGGAGCTTTACCTTCGCTCTCCCTCTACTCCTGATGCCTATTTGAATTGCAATGTGTCAGATAACTGCTTTACCTGGGAACCGAAAAGAAGATTTAGTAAAGGTAAAGGCCATGCCATAGCTTAAGCGGTTAGACGCCGGCTTGGAGCCCAGGTTAGGTCATGTGGGATTTGTGGGTGACAAAGTCAACCTAACAGGATTTCTCCGAGTACTTCGGTTTCCCCTGCCAATTCTCACTCCACCGGCTGCTCCACACTCACCATCATCTATCTTCCGGGGCTGTACAATAGGCCAGTTAGTGGCCTCAGTCTCACCCCACCCCAAACAACTAAAAAAGAAAAACTGATACAAGGAGAGTTATCCCTTCTGTGATGATATGCGGTGGCACTTGATGGCCAGTATCACGTTCCGGTAGCTTTGGAGACAGGGCTGGGAAGGACCCACATCTGGTCTCCACACTGTGGAGAGGAGAAAACGTGCTACTCCTGCCGAGACTCGAACCCAAGTTATCCTTCTATAACTGACTCAGATATCCTGACTCATTCGGTCACCATGTTCAGTGCAGCTTCGGTCGGTTCATGCGTCAGCCTGCGTGCAGGAAGCAAGAAATTTCAACTTTGGCAATTCCTACAAACGAGCCACCGAGGCCTGTCTGTTGTTCCCTCGATTTTAACGTCAGGCCGTTTCGCCAGTGAAACTCAGAGGACGAGACGAAAGCGGACGCAAAGGAAGTAGTGCACACTAATTTATCCAAGCATTCATACCCTCAGCTTCAAGCCCAGGCCGTTTATCCCCGTGAAATGAGCCTTCGGTATCCACTGAATAGGAGGCTTGGTGAGACCCCAAACGCTCTGGAGAAGAGAACAATCTCTACCCTTGCCGAGGATCGAACCATGACACCTCGATAATTCAGCCGGTAGCTTAGTCACTATACAGAGCTACATGCCTTCCTAGGAAGTGGTTGTGGCTGATTGAAACGTGTATACTTATTATTCGCGCATTTGACCAGAACCGAAGAATGCTAAAGTTTCGACATTTTCGCTGATCACCTGACGAAACAGCCAAGCTACCCTTGCTTCGACCCCGCAAACAAGGGGCGCTAATCTGCAACCTGTGTTGTCAAGGTTCCCACCGACGCGAGGCGTCCCGTACGTGTACAAATACTCTCCGTAGTTACGCTGCACGTTGAATTCGAAGAATAGGACAGGGGTGGACAATTATTTTGGCCAGCGGGCCATACCGAGGCATTATGCTACGAGCCGGAAGGTCGCGGGTCCGATTTCCGATGAGGTCACTGGATGTTTCAATTGACCTAATCCTTCCAGCCGCATTATGGCCCTGGGGTCGACTCAGCCTCTAACAGAAATGAGTACCAGGAATCTTCCTTGGGGCAAAGGGTGGCCGGCGTGTAAAGCTGACAAACTCACCGCCATCTGTGAGCCGATTGTCTAGAAAGTGTGGTGAGCCTCGACGACTGTTACAGGGATAGCTTTGCCTATTGAACCTGTACTTGTCAAATTCTCTTGTTTCCGTGTGAGTTGCTTCACGACGCTGTCAGTGGTTGAGCTGTGTGAGTACAGCGACAGTTGTTAGGAAGACAAACTATAGGCTGGGAAGGGTTTGGAAGGAAGCGGTCGTGGCCTGATAGAAAGACTATCTCGACACATGCCGGAAGGGACTGAGGGAAATAACGAAGAACCTTAGCTACTACAGTCAGTGCCCCGGCCGAGAGTCGACCCATCACCTCCCTAATACGAATATTGAGCACTTGCGCTATACTGACCCGCTCGATAATTGTTCAGTTAATTTCACCAATATATATTCCTCTACGTCAAGAATACTGTCACGTGAGGATGTGTGAGGATAGACGGGATTTGCATTGGTGAATGGATTCATTGACCATTTATAAACACGACTGGGAACTACAAGCGATTACAGCGCCACCGCTAATCTCTAAAATTCACAAATCCCCACAGCACCCGCTAAGCCTCTTTCCAGCCTGCTATGTCTTCATCAGCCGTGTTCTGGTAAAGGCTTCTAACACTAGAGATTTTTCAGCTTCATAGCGTCCCGTGCAGAATTCTCCAACTGTCATGCTTATAACTTATCGGCAAGGACCACATAGAAAACACCGTCCTTCTATTGCTCCATTTGTATTCGTTTCCGAGGGAAAGTGTTTATCGAGCCGTCGCCTAGAAACGGTAGCTGTTTATTCGCCTTATCTTGCGGTCGTTGCATTGCAACGGCTGTGCACGCTACATTATTAATGGCGCATTACTACTGAGTAACGCACACTTACAGAGCAAACCCGTAGTTCTAATATGGCTGTGTTTTGTTGGCGCAGAGACCGAAGTTTCCCAGCCCTGGCACAGAGCCCCCCCCCCGAACATGACCAGCAAGTGTTCCACGGTACGTGTACACGTAGGCTGGCAATCACGACTGTTCCTGCGAACAGATGCAGTCTGCAGGTCGCTAACCTCAAGCAGGCGGTGAACTGTGGTGCAGAGCTGCAGAACTAAAGCTTTTATAGCTCAGTGGTAACTCTGCATGCCACCTGCTTTAATATTCCAAAACTCTGCATTCTGCGCACACAGTGTATTTATGTGTTCCATATGGTTCTCACAATAAACAGCGACTGTTTCCCCAAACAGCATTAACCGGTTGGGCTTTGTAGTGGTGACGTAATGTGTTTCCTGTGAGGTACGGACTGAATTGCTATATATTCGTATTCTGTCCCCACAATGTATCTGTGGGTTCCGTGTGGTTCTCACAATACACAACGGCTGTTTTCCTAAACAGCTTTAATCGGTAGGTTAAATCGAACAATCGATCTTATGGTTACTATCGTTACCAAGATTCTTATTGTTAGAGTGACTATATGGTTATCATAGTTACCGTATATCGGTAGTGGCGCTAGTGTGGTTATTAAAGATGAGAGGAAACTGCATGTAAACTTTATCAAAATTCGTCCGGCGGCGATGAAACGGCCGTATGCAGTTTCGGATTTCTGTTGGACGGACGGACCACGAACAAGTTCCCATTTCGCTGTTTTGTCCTAATTTAACGCCTCTTTATCAGTTGCATTGGTTATATAGCAACGCAAGGGAGGACATTAAAGGAGGGACCGTAGCCTATTTTAAGTTCCGGCGAATGAACTTCAAGACAGACGAAACCCGTGAAGATTCGAACCCACGGAACACAAGCGCCGAGTGCTACTGCTGCAGTGACACGGCGCGGAGGGATGCAAACTAGCGAGAAACAGCGAACGGACTGCATCAAGCAAATACAACGTTGTACCCATGTCTAAGTGCAGCAGGTTGGAACTCCCTAGACTTGTATTCGGGAGGTGCTCGGTTTGAAACTTGTCAGGACATCTAATCTGTTATTTTCCTGTCCCTGCAGGTAAATACCGGAGTAGTGCCCCGAATAGACCTTCCATTCAACATTCACCCACCCACTCTTCATTACTGGCTAGATAAGGTGAAGATAAAGTTGTCCCTAAACACTCCGCCATGAAGACGTATGGGGGAGTTGATGTGTAGATCCACGTTTTCTTGACTTCGGCACTAGTTGGAATTCAGCTTCAAGCCCCGCCCGCTTTACCCCGGGGAAAAAGCCGACGGTACCCAAGGTATAGGAGGCTGGGTGGGACCCAAAGCCGGTCTGGACGACGTGGAGGAGAGAAAATTCATGACTCTAAAGGGGCTCAAACTCCGACTCCTCAGTCGTCCAGTCAGTAGCCAGTCGCTATACCGACTGAGCTATCCCGGCTCCTATTTCGTAAAGTAACCCACCAGAATGAAACACGCCATGAAGGCGTACGAGAGTAATCTTCACACATTTTAAGTCTCGTCACTAAATACAACTGAGAGGTCAGCTTCACGCTCCGACAGCTTAACTTCTTGGGAAAGAAATCCAGGTTTCAATAGCTTCTAGAGCAGGTCTTGAGCTGACAACGAAGAGTATCTGCCCCTGCTGGGAATCGATCCCAATTCGTCTGGCCCGTGTCTGTTATCTGAACTGTACAAAGTGAAAGCAGTGAAGCCTGACAGCAGAAAAGGGGGAGAAACAAAAAGCCAAAGTCAGAGAACTGTACAAAAAGAGCGAAGTATCTGGCAGACAGGGGAGGGAGGCCCATGACGAATTTCTCCCTGAAGTAGAAATGATCTGAATACATTTCACTGGACAAAGTTGCTATATAGCCTTAATCCCATTAAATCCTCCCTCCCTCGCCAAGCTGAGGGGGAGGGGACGTAACGTCAGAGTTTGGTTAGCCATTCATTAGTTGGGTGCGCCTCGGCTGGCAGCTCGGCTTCGCTCTGCTGTCGGCTGGCTCTTTCACGGCCGTTTGTGCCTTTTGTTCAGACATCGCGTCTTCAGGCTGCCCCCCCTCCACCTCGTTTTGGCTACGTAAAGAATTCTAGCGGTATCTAGTTGCACTAATCCACAGATGTAATTAACCTTCTATAGCACAGTGGTAAATCTATGTACCGTAAACTGCAGCATTCAGAACCTAGTCTGTCCACATAGTGTAACCGTATGTTCCGTATGGTTCTCACAATAAACAGCGACTGTTTCCCTGAACAGCATTAAC